CCTACACGGTGCCCAGGGCTTGGGTGGCACTGCGCTGTCCTGCCTGAAGCCTGGACACCTCGATGGCTTTAGCAACCCCACTGTCTCCTCCCATACTGACAGCTCATTCTTTCCCGTTACTCCCTGCCCAGGTTTCATCTGGAGAGTCTGGAATCATGGGCTCAGCTTTATCCCTGGAACCACCTCTATCCTGTGTCATCAGGGGTGGGGTGGGGTTCTCCAGCGATTCTAATGAAGCCCGTCCAAGATTTCGCTGCTCTGAAGACTCTGAACCAAAGGTGGCCACTCTATCACTGCTTCAGATCACCAATGACAGCTTCCAGCTGACATCTGGCTTCCCTGGCCTGCTGCTGATTTCATCCCCACACCCCACCCTGCTCCACCAGGCGCTTGAGACTGCTGCAGGCCAAATGACTGTGTTGGCCTACGGGTGACCTGGCCTCTGGCTACAGTCGCTTGCGTCCCTTCCTTGAGTCCCATGTTCTTTCCCACCTAAGTCCCCTCTGTCTATAATACTGTGGGGCAAAAAGAAGGAAAGAGTCAACCATCAGGCAAAGTGAGCTATGTGTGCATACACACCCAGACACCCACACCCAGACACATAGCAGGGCAGCTGGCAGCAACAGTAAGCACAGTAAACGCACGCAGGCACCGACACCGTCCACACTCACATTTACTCAGAACCCACAGACAGCAGGGAAGCTGGCAGCAGTGTTCAACTTAAACTGACACACAAACCCACTGCGCACAGAACCACAGTAACAATCACCCCCAGAAAGATACATACATGTACGGCGAGGCAAATGTCAGCGGGGTTTGGCAGGGGTGGGCACTCAGGCTGGCATGAGCACGCGTGCGCGCGTGTGTGCGCGCGCGCGCGCGCGCACACTCACACACACACACACACACACACACACACACACAGAGTCTGGAGTGAAGCAAGGGCTACAGGAACAACCAAGGGCAAACAAACAAGAGGAGAATTCCTTAATCACATCAGGATGTGCAGGAGGGAGGGTGGGAGGGAGCAACGGAGGGAGGGTAGGCCAGGGAGGGGGTGATTTTCCACACGGGGCCAGCAATGTCAGCTCTTCCTGTACGTGTGCTGGAGGCTGCAGTTCAGGCCTGTGCTGCACTGAGCTCCACACATCCATAAACTTGATCCTCGGCCTGAACCCTAACATTCCCCCCCCCCAGCTCCCTTTCCTAAGCCTCCAGAGCTGCACATTATTAAACTCTTTCTTTCCCTCCCTTCTCCTCCACTGCAACATTAAAAAGAAGCATCTGGAACTCGTAGCAGAGCGAGATGGGGGCACCGGGGTGGGACTGGCAGGAAGGGGCACCAGCAGAGTGCACTCTTGAGAAGCTGGCTGGTCACGTCAACATCGCCACCGCTCTGAGTGGTTATAAATAACCAGGGGTAGAGGCTGAAGCCCGGGCAGAGCGGCGCTGGGGGGATGGGGGAGCCTTCCTTCGGCCACAGCGGGCTCTTCCCGCATTGTACCTCATCTTCCAGTTGTTTTCCCTCTTGGCTTCCCATTTCCTTTCCCATGGTGTCTGGGACGGGTGCCACTGACACATATTTTCCACCCTTGAATGCCAGCAGAGGCTCTTCTTGTCCACAAAGGGCTTCCAGAAAATACTTCAGCACTGTGACCCTTTTGCAGTCGGCTGCAATAACCTACAGGGCGAGAGGCAGAAGAAAAACAGCATTTTCTGAAAGGGAAGATGAGAGACTTTGTTTGTTGGCTGAGGGGCACACGAGCAATGTGTCCGCTGGGCAGGGGAAGGCGGAGAGAGTGAGCGGGAGTGCGTGCGTGTGAGGTGAGGAGGGCCAAGACCTCTGAAGGAAGACAGCACCATCTCCCCTTAGGTCACCTCTGGGGGAGCAGACAACCCCAGGGCCAATGACAGGTGTCCTCTGGGGTTTCGCCTTTCTTTTGCTCAAGTCCTGATCTGAAAAAGGAATAAATTAAGAGTCTTCCAAGTTTGGTATCTAGCTGGTAGAAGGAGGGGTGGCATGTCAAATACTGGCTGTCACAGAACATAGCTCTCTGGTGCCCTCACTGCCGCTCTCCATTCTTCTCCCAGCCCCCCTCTTGCCAGACTCCCAGGAGAAGTTGCAGCCTGAGTTCTGTGAAATGAATGACGAGTGCTTTCTTGGCTGTTTCATTTCACTTAGGTCATTTTGGGTTTCCCCTGACAGGTTCCTGCCCCACCTAAGAGCTTCTTACGCTGAAGAGACTGGGGTCCGGCAGGAAATTATTGTCAGGAGAAGGGAGACAGGCAAAGCAGGTGTGTGTGTGTGTGTCGGGGGGGGTGTTTCACCAAGCTCTGCTCCTCCAGGGGTTTAGGCCATCCTGCTCCCATGTGGCCGCGTCAGCACGTAAGCCAGTGCTGTCAGAGAAGCTGGGGCTGACTTAGCTGAAATGAAATTCAGTATCTTGAGCAATCATCAAATTTGTAAGTGGCTCAGAGAGAGTTTCCATAGCCACCCTGTCTGGGGTCCTTCTCCTGCGAGACCTGCAAACCCACCTGCTCTGCACCTTCTCATGCCCTGCTCTTCACCCCTGGCCTCCGGGGTCCTCCCCCCCCTTCTGGGAGGGCGCTCACCAAGGGAGAAGAGGGGCCCATTTGATCTGGAGCTCACAAGTGGTGAAGGCCGTTCCCATAAGGAAACACTTCAGTGGCCAGACATGTCACAGGGTGGCAGCCCCTCCATCATCACTGACTCTAGCCCCTGCCCCCCCACCCCCAAACCCCATGCTTCCCATCCTGTCACATGACAGGGACTTCCCTGGCTGTATCATAGAGTAAAGTAACTTAACTTGGAGACCGTCTTTGATTGCTTGCTCTTTGTTTCACAGGTGCATTTGTTATCGCCCTCGCCTGGATATTTACTCCACCGGTGGCAGAGACTACATCTCATACTTCCCTGGCAAGGGGTGCTAAGGACAAGCAGGGCACCCAGGAGGTTTACAGTAAGGGCTGACAGGCACAGGGAAGCTCGGCTGGGTACCAGAGGGAGCAGAGGAGGCAGGTGCGACCCAAGTCCTCCAGGAGACGTGGAAATGAGCTCCCCTCTGGCAGCTGGCTGGCCAGGGAATGTTCAGCACACAACTGTCAACCCTGCGCTCCACGACTCTGTCCTCTGCCACGTCTCCCAACCTCGGAGTGGGCCCCCGCCCCTTGCCCCACCAATGGCCTTGATAACAACTGAGGCCTGAATCGCAGGCTAAGTGCCTCGACCACCTGAGAGGCTAAATCAAAAGGTGCTCAGCTACCCAGAAAAGGCTTAGGAAAGGACAGCTGTCTTGAGCTTGGGGTGCCCAGCCCTGTGCTTGAAAGGAGGAAAGAAGCGCACGTTGGGCCAGGGCAGGTAACCATGGGTTCCATCGCGTGTATTCAAACATGTGATGAGGAAGGCTAGAAATACAGAAGCAGGGGCTAAAAGGCATTAAAGAACAGAGCTGAAATGAGTAATAGCCTGGCAGGCAGCACGCACAGTGGCCTCCCTGCATCCCCAGCCTCTCACTTGCAGAGGAAACTTCTGCATTTCCACAAGACTGCCAGTTTCCTCTCAGTGGTCTAAATTTAACCACCTTGTCGTTACAGTGTGTGTCAGCCACCTGACCCCACTATGACCTCTGACCTTATGCCCCAGTTACTGCTTGCACTATGGAGAATTATGTAATGGGTCCAGGGCTTTCCTTTTCGGTGTGAGACTGCTGTCACTGAATGGAGAGGAGGTGGGGGTTAAGGGGTGAGAGGAGGACAGAGGAAAACCTTACAGTGGTCCTTGGCATCACCTGGATGGTGAGAGGTATGCTGGCACTCCTGCTGAGTGTGCTGCAGAAATCTGCCCAGGGAGGAGAGTGAAAACCTTACAGTGGTCCTTGGCATCACCTGGATGGTGAGAGGTATGCTGGCACTCCTGCTGAGTGTGCTGCAGAAATCTGCCCAGGAGAGGAGAGTGTGCCCACGGGTGGGTGTGTGTGCTGACAAGCGGGCAGAATTCCTGCTGTTAGGGCATGGGCTGGATGGCATGCTGAGTGGCTCAGGAAGAAAGGGGGAGAAAGGCCACATGTGTGGACGTGGGTCTCCTGGAGACGGGGATTTCCAGGGCACAGCAGGACCCAGGGATGCAGACATCCTGAGCCTGCCTGCAGCACATCCTCAGAGGATCAGGGGGAGCTGTTATTCACGTGGACACCAAAACAAAAAGGAGTGCCACCTCCCTCCCCGGGCCCCTGACCCCTATTTTAGTTTTCACTCTGTTTGGAAGGAACCTGATTTCCGGGGGATTTTGTCTGCTATGGCCATCATTTCTTCCCTGAGGGCAAAGGAACTCCTGGATGATTCTCAAAAGGGCTTTGATGCAGCGGGGTCTCTGAGTGGGGTGCAGAAAAGAATTCTACATGTTTGGAGCCTTTTGGAAGAGTGTCCTCGCCTTTGCAATCCAACTAGCGGGGAGGATAGCCGACGCTGTTTGGTCTCCTTAGGCTTCAAAGTGCACAGTGCAGCGAGGAATGGGGTTTGAGCTACTGAGGAGATGCAGGGACCGAGGGGCAGAAAGTCTAGGGCTTCTCCGGGGCACAGAGAAACCCTCGGTCTCCAGCCTGCCGGCATTCTGCTCTCAGGTGGGAGGAATCAGCCCAGCGGGGTGGATTCCTCCTAGACAAAGCCTCCAGCCCTTGAGTTGGGGGAAAAAAAACCAGTTTGAATATGGTTAATAAGGGATATCATGAAGGAAGATGCCCTTTAAACCATTCACAGAGAGCCAAGTCCAAGATGATCTCTGTCTGGCCAAGGAGGACTTCCTGGTAGGAGAGGGGTTAAAGCTAGGCTCCCGGCTCGGAGAGGAAGGAGTCCAGATGAAGTCTATGACATAATCCCCACAATAGCTCTGTTCATGAGTACATTTTTCCATTCTATATCAATGAGAAACAGAGAATGTAAGTGGTATGTACATTGTAGCTCTGGGCAAATTCTAGATTCTCTAGAGGAGAAGGATCTGGGCTGCAGAGGCCTCCTTCCTGGGCTGTTAACAGGTGGGGCTGCACAGGGGCTAGAGCTGAGTAAAAGGGCTGCTGGCCAGGGAACACCTGGGTAACCTGAGACCCAGCACCTCTGCAGGGGCATTCACGGTCCTTCTGGAGAGACTCACTGTGTAGGAGACCATTGGGAGCTGCAAAGTTGAAGGTCCAGTCAGCTCTGAAAGAAGACTGGGGCTGTGGGTCAGGGAAGGTCTGAAAGAAAGGCGCCCAGAGAAAGCCCCTCTCCCTCCCCCTGAAGACCATCTGAGGCAGTGTGCCCCATCGGCGGGAACTGAAACCTCTAGCTTCAGGGCTCCAGCTACCACCCAGATCAGGTCCACACGCAAAGAACCAAGCAGAAAGGAAAACTGAAAGTGAGATGTGGCAAGGCGATGTGGGAGCCTGGCCTGTCGCAGGCTCAGTTCCTTAGAGAGAGAAAGTGAGCATGCCCATGGTAAGCGGAGGCTGGCACTCAGAGGAAGGTTAGGTGCTGAGGAAAGCAGGAAGAAACCTCTAGGGCGGGAGAGAAGAGGGAAGCCAGTCTGGGGTATCTTAGGTGGGCCGGTGGATGAGAAAAGAATGTTGTTTTCTGAAAACTGGTGACTTTCCACAGCCACTCGGCAGAGGACCAGCCCAGACTGGGCAGAAATGCCTAGGAAGGAACAGAAAAAGAGGTCCAAGCAGTCTTATGGAAGGTGGCGGGGGGAGAGAGAGAGAGAAAAGGAACTGAGCACCAGGTACCACAGACGGATGTTACGTGGCAAGACTTAACACTAGCCATGGGGAAGGGAGAAGAGCCCTGATCCAGCCAGGGAACAGGAGGAGGGGTCAGAGAGATGAAGCAGGCCTCTGGATGCAAGCTCCAGGGAACGATGGACTCACTCCATCTTTATTGGGTCCCTATTCAAACAGGCCACCTGGTAGGCACAAACACTACAGTGACTGGTTAGATTCTGCAGAATTTCTTTTTCTGAACTTTTGGTTTGGGGGAGTCAGAATTTAAATCTGCACTATCAGCCAGTTCGATTATTTTCTGGTTTAAAAAGTCCTGCTTGCTACTGCTCCTCTGGTTACAGAGAAAAATCACACGGGTTTTTCCTCTACAAACTCCAGTTTACAGGTTGTTTTTCTTATTTCTCTAAATGGTGCCAATTATTCTCACATTTGTTGAAACCTTCAATCAAACTTTATAGCTTGTTAATTTTACAGAATGTCCTTAGAGCAAATAAGATGCAGACAGAAAAGTGAAGTCTTGCTGAAATTATTAAGAAATCTTAAAATATGGGCTTCCCTGGTGGCGCAGTGGTTGAGAGTCTGCCTGCCGATGCAGGGGACACGGGTTCGTGCCCTGGTCCGGGAAGATCACACATGCCGCAGAGCGGCTGGGCCCGTGAGCCATGGCTGCTGAGCCTGCGCTCCACAACGGGAGAGGCCACAACAGTGAGAGGCCCGCGTACCGCAAAAAAAAAAAAAAAGAAATCTTAAAATAGCCTGTAAATCCATTACCAATCCTGGTAAAACACAGGCTGCTTGGCTGGCTTCTGAGGTCAATTAGCAATGGGTTAATTATCATCTCTAATGAGCCCAGCCTACAGGATTGGCTACAAGAAAACTGAACTCAGATTAAAGTGTTTTCACAAACTGA